GTAACAATTTATTAATAAAATTTTATATTTATCCCTAATTAAATATCACTTAAATAAAATTTTTTTATTTAATATATGTTGTAATTATTTTTTTTAAATGAGTGTTAATAAGAATAAACACATTAAATGATATTTTAAAAATAAAAAGTGAATAATTAAACTTAAACGCACAAAATAAAAAATTAAATCTACCAAATTTGAATTAAAAGATAAATTAATGAGAAAAATAAAGAACATGTTAAAATAATTTTTCTTAATTAAGTGGTTTAATTAAATTTAAAAAATAATTAATGTGTGTAAAATATGTAAATAATCTTAGAGAACTTTAAGAGAAAAGTTTTTCCCTACCAAACACCCCCCTTAGTTCTAAAATTTGTTCAATGAACTTTAAAAACAAGAATTGATAATTAAGATGAATACCAAATAATACAACTTAAAAGGGATGGGGAAAAAGAAAAACTTGCTTAATTGATCTAAGCTAAGATTTTGAGTACCTTATAATGAAATAGAGGAAGAAAAACAAGGCTTAAATGTTGACGGCCAAATGAAAAGGAAGGGACAAAAAAAGGGGGGGGTGTCTTATATGTGGAGGGGTAATGGAATGTTAAACATGGGAAAAGAAAGGGAAATAAATTTAAGAAGGCGGGCATAAGATTTTGGGCGAAGACTTTCCAGTTTTCCGTTAACGGTGTTAACGCTTGATAATTTCACGTTAAATGCTCTCTGCCGTTACATGGGTGAGCTGTATCCCTAGTGCTGAGTTGTTATCTTTTTATTGGTTCGGGATACCACTGACGTGGTATCCCCGTGATATTCTAGAGTTTCTCTGCAGGTGCAGTGCCACGGAAGCCGATGACAAACGGCGTCCGGAAGTCAGTTAGCGGAAGGGCTGATTAGCAGCCATCGTGGGGTTTGAGGGCTTATTTGCCACTTTTTTAGTTCAAGGGTTTATCACTTGCTGTTAAAAAAGTTGAGAGGCTTAAGATGGGTTTTTGCCTTTCTCTTTCATTTCTTCATTTCTCTCGTTTCTTTCCAAATTTATGTACTTGCGATTTAGGGTTGGGCAGCGCTAGCGAACGTTTTCAGAAGAATTATTGAAGATGAGATTAGTGGCAGAAATTCTCAAATGCGCACACTCCAATAGGTTTTAATCTTATTAACTAGCGATCCTATTGTTCTGAAAACCAGATTCTGATTCCTATTCCAATTTGGTTTTTGCGACAACCAATTTCACGCTTCCCATCAGTAATGTGCATCGATTCACCACTTGGTTTCGCTTGATTCTTCTGTTTTTTCACGGTTACCGAAAATGTTGATCTTCAGTCCTGTGACGCCCGGCCAGGTACAGTTTCCTCCGCCCTTGGATTTCGGCATTCTCAGTTCTCATTCTTTATTACTTGATTTATGTAAAATTGCAGTTATCGGCAATTCTCGGATTCGTGCCTATCGTCGCCCCTTGGATCTATGCAGAGTATTTGGAGCACAAGAAGAACTCTCTTCTGGCAGTTTCGGCGCATTTTAGGAAACGGTGAATTGAGGTAATGTTAATTTTTCTATGAACTGAAGTTGCTTTTTTCTGTTAGTCTGCACTCCGACGTGAATTTGGTTGAAGCAGGAGTTGAGGCTGTCAAAGAAGGTGGTTTTGTTAGAGGGTGGAATTCTCCGATTATCTTCTCCTAAATCTTCTTTCCTGTGCGCATTTTTTAGCGAGATAGAAAGGATGAAGAACCGTTTGAAGAGTTGGGGAAAAGATCAAGTGATTTTGAAAAAAAAAAGAACTGTAGGTCCCATTAAAAATCCTGTTTAGCTGGACACATAAAAACGGGAAGTGTGTAGGGCGGTTTAAATGTCTAGACATTAGAGTTTTTAGTTTGTTTAATTTAGTGTCATCATGATACGCCTGCACTTCCTTTTCTGGTAATGAACATTGTCCATTATGAAGCCATGTTCCCAGCCCAAGTTGTCTTAATACATGTAGTGTATTGATTTTTCTTTTGTTTGTTAATCAGTGGAAAGTAAATCTACCATTGATATCAGCAGGGACCAACTGGTTCTTCAATTGTGTCAACTTCAAGCACTAGCACTGCTGAAAGCACCCCATCCACTCCCAATGTAGGTGAGGAACTGAGAGTTGCTTCTTAGCTTTGGAACTTCTCCTATAATGAGCTCAAGTCACCGGGGATTGGTTGTGTGACTTGTGTCTTCAAAGGTTGGATCAATGAGAGTGGAACTGCTCCAGTGAAACCTGGCACAGGGTTGTCTGTTTCTGTCAAAACCCTCAACCATGATGGACTACAGGGTCATAAAGAAAGGCTTGTAAGAGGTGTCTTCATTTTGCCAGTAACATGACCTTTTAGGAAGCAGTTTCATTAGTTGTTTTCATTTGTTTTGCTCTGGACTTGGTTTTCTTGTTAATGACTATGTTTATAGTTTAAGTGCATTCAAAAATGAGGAAGAGAAAATAATTATCATTGAAGTTAATAGTTTTGTTGTTGGGAAAATTAGTTATGTTATAAGATGGAAAGTCAAGAACTGATGGTGACAGATAACACACTAATAGTCAGGATTGATCTATGGAATTATCATTTTTACACGACATGCTATGAAAAAGATAAACTTTTCTTTAAGGAACAGCCTAACAGCACCATATGTGGAGGCACTTTTTAAAGAAACTATTCATTATATAAGGACTTTGAGAAAACTTATCTTGAAAACCTGCTTCCTCTTCTTGTTTTGATTTACGGTACCAGTAGCTTAGTGACTGAATGGTGTAACAATTTCCTGTTTATTTTTCCATGTATCATCCCTTGTCTGAGAGTTTGCCAACACTTTTCCAGGATTACAATGCCAAGCTTTCTGATTTTGGACTAGCCAAAGGTGGTCCAGACTGAGATAAGAGTCATGTATCAACCCGAGTGATGGGAACCTATGGTCATGCTGCCCCTGAGTATGTAGAATTATCTGTTTAATTTTCTTTTAATTTGAATATATATTTTAAGACATTGGATATTTAGTGCTGGAATGTTGTAGCAATAGATCCATGATGTGTACAGCTTTTATTCACTTCAAGAACTATATGTCTATGCATTTCAAGCTGTTTTTGTTTTATGTTCTTTTCCTGGTCCATCTAATGGTTTGTGGTTGGTATTAATATGATATTAATTTTCTTATGAGTGCAAATATGTTTCACATTTTAATGGTGATTCTATTTTTCCAGGGCATCTGACGTCTAAAGTGATATCTATAGCTTTGGGTTGGTTCTTCTTGAGATGTTGACAGGCCGAATACGGAATATCCATGGACAAAAACCGACCAAATGGGAAGCATAACCTAGTGGAATGGGCTCGGCTGTATCTTGGGGAGAAACGAAGGTTTTTATGGATCCTCGCCTTCAAGGACGCTTCTCAATCAAAGGGGCACTGAAAGCAATTCAATTGGCGGTAGAGTGCAAGGTGGTTTCCCATCAAGGAATATCGACCGAACGGGAGCATCTCCACGCCAAATGGGCCTCTTATTTCTCCATATCACCATAATATCTTGATCGGTCACCCAAACCTGGTGTTGGACAATCTTCAGGTTAGGCCCATGCCTATCTCCGTGCTTTGTTTCTATTATTTCTTGTGTTTCTGCAGGAAGTGCGTTAGCGAGCCTTGGAATGTAATGCTGATAAGCCTGATATGTTCCTTCCTGAGTAGAAGTTCATTAATGGGCTCCGCACTGGTGAGAAACATAAGGGCTCTTTTGTAGCTTATGATATGTTTAAATTTCAAAATAGTTGGTGCACTTTCTTTAGTGCTCACCTCACATCTTCTATGCTGTCAGTATCGAGGTTGATGCAAATTAGGGACTACAGTTTTTGTGATGCCAATCAGGATTGACTTAAACAAGGAAAAAAAAAAAAAACGGAATGTTGCATTTTTTGAACTCTATGCCTATTTCATTACAGCCAATTTCTTCAGCTTAGTGTTGAACCTAGTTTCGGTGCATTCATATGTTTCTGTAAAAATTTGTAATCGCGGTGCCATTATTCTTATTGGGATGGACAAAACACAAAAAATTTAGTCTTTTGAGTTCCAGAATTTCCTCACCAATTCCATTGAAACATTTCTAAACATAAAATTGCTGCATGAAAAATTGGAAGGGGACAAACATAAATTTTTTTTTAAAAAAAAAAAGGAAAAAGAAAAAGAAAAAGAAAGAAAAAAAGAGATGGCCTAGAAGATACCCGCTTGCCTCTAATTTGAGGGAGAACCGTGACGCTTATCTAGATGACCTGAAACTTCTATTGAGATTCTTTTTCATTTTCTATCCCCAAATCACTATTCACTAGCTCCAATAAAGAAATAGCCAAAAAAGGCTTTGGAAGTGGTGTTTCATGGGTAACAAACTGTTGAGACACAAATTTCATCGTTGGCCTAGACTTAGGTTTTGCACGTAAACAAGCAAATGCAATTGTAGTAGTAACCACAATATTCTGGGTTACAATTTTGCTTCTTGGAGGTGAGAGACGTGTATCCAGTATGTCACTTAGCATCACATTTTGCAAAGAAGATGATGATGATGATGACAATGTCAATATTTCCTTTGGATGCCTTCCCATCAGTGTTTCCAATGCCACCACTCCAAAGCTATAAACATCACACTTCTCAGTCACAGCAATTGTATAGGCAAGCTCTGAATAAGCGCACAATGTTTATTATGTCAATTCAATAGTAGAGAATGAAATAAGATAATAGAAGAAGAATGCTGATGGAAAAAACCTGGGGCAATATAACCATAGGTGCCAGCAAGTATGGTATGATTGGATGAATTAGCATCCAAAAGCCTAGCATTTCCAAAGTCAGAAACAAAAGCCTCCAATTCCGAGTTTAATAGAATGTTGTTGCTTGATATGTCTCTATGAAGGATGGGTGGGCTGCAATCATGGTGAAGATAAGACAAAGCATGCGCCATGTGTTTTATGATATTCACCCTTTTGTTCCAATCCAGCTCCACTGCTTCTTCGTCATTTCTGAGCACACAAAACAAGCTTCCTTTTTCCATGTATTCATAGATCAAAAACATGCATGTCCTATGTAGGCAAAATCCATGAAGCTTCACAATGTTCCTATGTCGTATTTTTGTCAACATCCTAATCTCATTCTTAAAACTCTTATCGAGAGGTGGTTCTTCTGCTTCCCTTCGATGAAGTTTCTTCAAAGCGACTACTTTACCATTTGGCAAGAGTGCTCTATAAACACTTCCATAACCACCAGTACCAATGCAATATCTGATGTCAAAATCCTCAGTTGCTTCAATGATGTCTTCATATGCAACCCTTCCATCAAAGTTCCATATTGAGAATATATCCCCATTTTTCGTTGGACTTGGATCTGCTTCCTTACATTTAGCTCCATGCACTCTTCGAGATAGCAACAACAATGCCAAAGATACCAAGACAAGAGAAATGGTGCTCGGAAGGATAATTTTAAGGTGTCTCGGCAATGAATCATGTCTTGATTCTCTGCTGCTAGATTTTCTATCTTCAATAAGGGATGGGGGGAGAGAAGGAGGAAGAGAAGGGGACCCGGTAAGTTGTTCATCATCTAAATCCTTGTTTCCAAAAAAACAGCTTTGAGGAAAATGTTGCAAGTTATTTGGGATTTGACCCGCAAAAGAATTATATGACAGATTAAGTTCATACAAACTAGGTGGCAAAAGGGGAATAGAGCCAGAAAGATTGTTGAAACTCAGATCCAAGGCCACCAAATTTGTTATACTCGTAAGCTGGAAAGGCATTTCTCCCCTAATGAAATTGTGGCTGAAATCAATTTGTGAAAGCTTAGAGAGATTGCCAATATGAGGAGGGATACTTCCATTTAGAGCGTTGTTGCTCAACAACAAAAGTTCTAAGTTGGAGCAATTCACAATCTGAGTCGGGATCGGTCCACTGAATCTATTTTGGGAAAGTATCAAATATTGCAAAGATCTTGAATTCCCAATGTCTTCAGGTATGAAACCTTCCAAAAGATTTGAATCAAGAGACAACCACTCTAAATTAGTTAAATGAAATAGAGTGGGAGGGAGTGGACCAGTTATTTTGTTCTCCCTGAGCCAAAGCACTTGCAAATTGTTTAGATTTCCTAATTTTGGTGGAATGAAACCCTCAAAACCATTTGAGTCAAGGAACAAAGAGCTCAAATTAGACAATAGACCCAGAGATGCAGGAATTGAACCCCCTAATTTGTTGATACCGAGATCCAACCGAGTCAAGCTCCTAAGTTTTGCTAGTTCTACAGGGATAGAACCATTGACTTGATTTCCATAAAGAACAAAGGTTTTCAAATTTTTCAGGTAACCCAAAGTTGAAGGAAGTGGACCAATGAGTTGGGCCCGGGCGATACTCAAATAAGTGAGATTCCTTAAATTTCCGAATTCTGGAGGGATACAGCTGTTGAATTTATTGAATCCAAGGGACAAAGTTAACAAATTGGTTAATTGACCTAGAGAGGAGGGTATTGGACCTTCAAGCATGTTACTGGATAGATCCAAAGTAACTAAATTGGGCAATAGATCAAGAGAGGAAGGTATTGGACCTTTAAGCATGTTATAGGACAGATCCAAAGATACCAAATGGGTTAAATTCTGACTGATATCAGAAGAGATTGGACCAGTTAGTTGGCAATGGCTCAGGTCTAAGACGACAAGATTTTTCAAGTTCCATGTTTCTGGAGTTATACTACAATTTAAAGGATTTGAGGCCAAGTGCAGGTAAGCAAGATTGGTCAAATGGCCTAGAGTTTGAAGAATCGATCCAAAAAAGTAATTCCTTGTCAAGTTCAAGGAGACAAGATTCTTCAAATTCTCAAGTTCTGTGGGAATGGAATTGATGTTATTGACAGAAATGTCAAGCACCATTAATTCAGTGAGATTTCCAAGTGGTAAAGGTAACGCACCTCTTAGATCATTAGTGGACAGATTTAGGTGCTTGAGACTTGAAAGAGCACCAATTTGAGGTGGGATGGAATTGATGTAATTGAAAGAAATGTCAAGCACCACTAATTGAGTTAGATTTCCAAGTGAAGAAGGTAACGCACCTCTTAGATCATTACTGGACAGATTTAGGTGCTTGAGACTTGAAAGAGCACCAATTTGAGGTGGGATGCTCCCCTTGATTCCTAGACCGCTGAGATCAAGCCGAACAAGATTGGGAAGGGAAGAAAAGTTCATTTTTCCAAACTTCTCTCCCACACCGATAATAGGATTTGATGAATGAATTTCGGTGACACTTCCAGTACTGTCACATGTTACACCAGGCCAACCACAGTGATTTGTAGATTTGCGGGGAGTGTCATCCCACCACCCACTTTTCAGGAGAGCTTCTGCCTCTGCTCCTTGAGATTTTGTCCCCGTCATAGCCCTTGCCGTTGCCCCAAGTCTGATGCCAAAACCAATCGAACAGTATAAAAAGAAGATAGCCCATGTTAGTAACTCCATGGAACTGGAACTGCAAATATTATGATAATATTAAAGTTTCTTTTGTAAGTTTAAATAGACGAATATGTCTATACCCCTGGTCCCATTTTCCATCACCACCTGAAATGAACAAGTGCTTATTTCCACACAAAAAGACAAACGTTGACTTAATGTTGCTGTATTTAATATTTTAATTTAGTATAAAAAAAGTTGACATATTTAATTCAGCTTTTTCTATTGGTAGTGGGCCAGTGGCAGACAGAAAGCCCCCTTCCCTTCGTTTGCAAAGTAATGGTCTTTGATTAGATTAATAATAATAGCAAGTTAGCAACGGATGCAATTTCTGAAGACAGTCCTAACTCGGTGTGATTACTTTTCAGTTCAGGGTCTCCCGTTCATTTTTTATTTATCCTAATTATCAGGAGACTACAATTAGTCGTCTTAATTCACTCGTTTAAAAGCGCGTGTTTACCACGAATTAGCGTAGATTTTTGGAGGCCAAGTGCAAGGAGAGGAAAGATTCTATTTTGCATCCCTCTAAATCTTATTCTCGCCCGTGATTATTTGCATTTTTTGAGTATGCCGTACTTGTATTCTAAAAATATAGGTTAAAAATATATTAATTATATATTTTTATCATCAATTTTTATATTAAAAAATATAAAAATTAATTTTATCTTTAATATTAATGACATTTTTACAATTTTAATTAAGTGTTGATAAAATTGAAGTTGATTTTTACTTTTTTATAATCATTAATTAATTTTTTTTTTCTAACATACACCTTAAAACACAATATAAAAACACATTTATCATTCTTTTTTAAAAAATAATTTAAGCATAATGTTTTTACTATTTTTTATATAACTTTATGTACCATTGAAATTATTGATTTTTTTATTTATTTAAAATCTATTTTATTAAGTACATTTAACCATTTAATAATATATAAAAATTATATAAAAAATGATAAAAAAAAATTATTCCTTTATTACCATTTTTTTAACCATTAATTTAAAAAATTGACTTTTCCTTTTACAGGTCAAGCCAGTGCAGCGTACAAGTTTATTCTTCTTAAGAAATGTATTCAAAAGAATTGACAGATGAGGTTTAGAATTAGTCCATCCGTCCGTTGGGACATTTTTTATTTTCTCCATGTTAGTTAATTTCTTAGAAAATGTGGTAATGGAGAATCCGACGGCTTTGGGTCACATACAAAACTAAAAGAAAGTTCAAAACCGTGTGCAAGATGAAGTCATCATTTACTCCCTCTTTTTTGCATAATAATAGTTATTTTTTTATTTAAAATTTATTTAAAATTAATTATTGTTATTTAAATAATTAAATAAATATTTTTTTACTTTAACTTTAATTATTTATTACTTTATTTTAACTATTTATCCTATTACTAAAACTCCTTATCCTTTATCATTTTTAATGGTAATAAAAATAAAAATAAAAATATATAAATGATAATACTATAATTATAATGTTATATAAAATTATAAATTTACAATTATATTATAAGATTAAATGAGTATGACATGGCATCAAATTATTAGATGCATTAAATATATATCACCAATTAATAAACATGAAAAGAGTCATATTATATTATGTTATAAACTTATAGTGTGGGGTGACATTATAATTATAAAATTTTCCATAGAAAAAATAACTATTCATGCTATTTGGGAACAAATGAAGTATGTTATGAATTTCTGAAACTATTATGATATGGTAATGATATAAAGACAACATATTTATACAATTTTTATTTATAATTTCTATATAATAATTTACGAATATATAAATATAGATAATATTACATATTGTAATTGAATAAAAAAATTAGTTATTAAAAATTAATTATTTAATAACATATAAGATTGTTGAAAAAAAGTTAAATACAACAATTAAACATTTTCCATTATGATAAAGAATATCAGCCTTGCAGTCCATCAAAATTTACAATTCTATCGGTCTTCCTTTGAAATTGAAGACTTTGTATCCATGGATGACGATTAGGTTTTCATTTCTTTTAAATTGGGGGACCAAAGAGGCCACCATGCACATTGGCCTTTGCATACTTTTCGCAATAAGATCCATAATCCAATTACTTTATGTTACATCAAAGTCAAGCTAATGCACAGTGAAAAGTCTATGACAAATAAATTAGTCCATATATGTGGCAGAATAATATATCTTTTTTTTTTTTTTTTTTCTGAAAAAACGTGGAATGGGGAGTCATATGGCTTTGGGTGTTGATGTCTGGCATATATATTAAGCCCCTGTTTGGATGGGCAAATTTGGAGGGGAGTTGGGGAGAGTGAGGGATAGATATTTCATTTACTCTATTTGTTTTTTTTTTTTTTTTTTTTTTTTAACGAAGAGAGAGAGACAGAGCACGATAAAATCTTTTCCATTTTTATGTTTTTTATCCATTTAAATTGGAAGGATTGAGAGGAATTTGATTTATATATTTAATATTTATTAATATTTTAAAAAATAAATATAGAAAAATATTTTATTTCAATTATTATTTTAATTAATAAATTTTAAATATTTTATTTTACTTTATTTTTCTTTAAATTATTTAATTAAACAAAAATATTTTTCTTTTATCTCTTTTATTTTCATCTATCCAAACAAGATTAATATAAATTCTTTTTTTCCTTTCACTCTTCCTCCCTTTCCTTTCCTTCCTCTTCTTTCCCTTTCTTTTATTAATTTTTATCTAAACAAACTGTAAAGGGCAATTGGAAGTTAGAAACCGAGTGGAAGATGAATACGTGTCTGATGAATTTCCAAGGAATTTCAGTATATGGGTGCCCTACGCTATTTTATTGGCTCCTAAATTCAAACAAATGAAAAGCTAAAGAAAACGTGTTGGAGGCTAGCTATTGTTGTCCCTGACTCTGATGTATCATATGTTGAGATGTGCAGCAGGTTAACTTATCCTTCCTTGCCTTCTGAACCTAAAGAGGTTATATTCACTGCATTCAAAGTCTTCCCTCCCGATTTTCAGTTTGTGGTGCATCTTCACTTTAGCAGTTGTTGTCCCTGACTCTGATGTATCATATGTTGAGATGTGCGGCACGCTTACTTATCCTTCCTTACCTAAAGAGGTTACATTCACTGCATTCAAAGTCTTCCCTCCCGATTTTCAGTTTGTGGTGCATCTCCACTTTAGCAGTTGTTGTCCCTGACTCTGATGTATCATATGATGAGATGTGCGGTAGGTTTACTTATCCTTCCTTGCCTTCTGAACCTAAAGAGGTTATATTCACTGTATTCAAAGTCTTCCCTCCCGATTTTTAGTTTGTGGTGCATCTTCACTTTTCCTCTAATGCGAAATTCCTTTCACACTTGAGGACCCTATCCTGTTACATCAGTGGGAAAAAATTTTCAATTTTCTCATCCTTGGGTTTCTGAGAAAATGTGGGATGGGGAATCCAATGACCAGCACTGTTAGGTACTAATAGAAAACTAGAAACCGTGTCCAAGATGAATTAATGTCTCATAGAATTTCCAAGGTTAGTTTTCAAGCAATTTTGGTGCGGGTACCTTGAACCATTCACAAAGTTAGGGAAAACGTGTTGGATCTGGGTTCATACCTGATAAATTTCTGCCATTATTGCAACAAACTTGATAAAAGAATACTCTCATCAATGAATCTACCATTGACCCAAGTCAGGGTCAAGATCTTTCTGAATTTTTAAAGATTTGTATCCACTGGGATGGATCGGATCTTCTTTCTAATGAGTAACGACTACATTTTCGCAAACCCAATAATTGTAGGATGGGAGAATGAAACCAAAGGACTAGAGAATGAATTTTAGGATAGACGAGCTGCCATTACAGCGAAGCACTATTGGCTCTTGAAAAGAGAAAAGCTCGTATCCAGCATCAAATCGACTTACGCTCGCTGCAATAGATTCTCATCTAAAGAAACTGTTCAGATATCTATCGGATTTGAACGCAGAGTAGGCAATTTGAGAACTAGGGTTGCATTTGGTGGCACGGACAAATTTGGGGAGAAATTTTACTGCTTTACATATTCACGGGAAACAGAGGGAGAAGAAGGTCATGAGGAAAATAAACGGCGGGCCCGCTAAAATTATTACCCGGTCAGTCACCAATTTTGCGTTTTTTTGCCCATTTGCTTGCCACGTCAGCATTTCGGGAACAAAAAAGGGGTTAAATTGCGCAAGTTTTTAATAATTTCTGACGAATTGACCAAAAAAGTTTCTTTGATGATGAGATCGACAAAAAATTGAGAGCCCAAATATTACATTAAGCAATATATCTACACATAAACAGAAAAGATCATGTACCAAAAAAAAAAAAAACAGAAAAGATCAAAGCATGAAATATTAGCTTCGGAAAAAAAAGAAGAAGCCAATATATATATATATATTTTGCCAATGAAATACCGCTTCTTTATTCTGCATATTATACTAATTGACATGGGAATCAACAAGAAATATAACAATCAGCCTGCAAGGTCTGATATTGAGTTTGTGTTTTCACACCTTCCATGTACATTCCATATTCCTTCACTTCTGACAGAGAGATTGCATGAAAAGGCTTTGGTAATGGTGGAAGGCGACCAAGAAACTCTTGACACACGCGTTTCGTTGATGGCCTAGACTTTGGCTCAGCTCGCATGCATGCAAATGCAATTGTGGCAACAAGAAGGATGTTTTGTATAACCTTCTGAATTCTTGGAGGTGAAAGCCGTGGATCTAATACATCAGCTAGCATTATGTTTTGCAAGGAAGGCAACAAAAAGAGGTCTTCTGGATGCTTTCCCATCAATGTTTCTAATGCCAATACTCCGAAGCTATACACATCACATTTTTTAGAAACCACCATGGTGTAGGCAAGTTCTACATCAAAATAAAGATAACGATAAATATTTTACTGAGAAAGCTCTTCCAAATTTTTTCTCATTTGTTTTCTTGCCAAAAGTAAGTAAAGAAAAGAAACAAGAAGGTCAAAACCTAATTACTTGGAGCAATGTATCCGTTAAGTCCCAACAAGTGCAGTTTGGTTTGATGAATTTGGATTAAGGAGTGTGGCAGTGCCGAAGTCAGAGACAATTGCCTCCATATCTGAATTTAGCAAAATGTTTTTGCCTGATATGTCTCGATGGAGTACTGGTTGCTTACAATCATGGTGCAAGTAAGACAAGGCATTTGCTGCGCTTTTGACAATGTTAACTCTCTTGTCCCAACCCAATTCCACAGCTTTAGCGTCATTTCTTAGGTTACAGAAAAGGTTTCTTCTTTGCATGTGTTCATACCGAAAAATGTGCACTGTCTGTGAAGACAATACCCATGAAGCTTAACAATGTTTCTGTACCGTAATTCTATTAACATCTTGGCCTCATTCCTAAAACTCCTGTCGAAATCTGGGTCTTCTTCTGCTGAATGATAACGTTTCTTTACGGCCACTACTTTTCCACTTGGTAGTTTTGCCCTGTAAACTCTACCGTAACCACCAGATCCAATGCAATATTTGGTATCAAAATTCTTTGTTGCTTTGATTATGTCTTCATATGCTATTCTTCCATCAAAGCTCAATATGGTTAACTAATCCCCATGTTTGGCAGAACTTGGAACAACTTTATCACTTTTAGCCCTTTGCTCATCAAGCATTAGGATCAAAGTTTCAATAAAAATAGAAATAACAAAGGTCAGTGGAAGAGAGATACTTATGAAGAAGATGCCAATATTGTTGTGTTTGTGTTTTGGTGTAGTAGAAAACGAGTCACAATGGCTACAAGATAACTCCTTGTTGCCGTTGAAGGAATCCTTTTTAAAATCTTGTTGAAACAAGTGAACAGGAACATGGCCCTTCAAAGAATTACACGACGAATTGATCTTTAACAAGGAAATGGACAAGATGGGAATCGTGCTGTGAGATTATTGTGGCTCATATCCAAGGTTTTTAGATTTGATAAATTCCCAAGTTGGCAAGGTATCTCTCAACTGATGTAGTTGTGATCAACATAGAAATCTAACAGCATAGAAAGACTACCAATTTGGGAGGGCATGCTTCCAATTAAGTTATTGTAGCTCAATGACAACACTGTTAAATTGGAGCAATCCCCAATCTGAAATGGGATGGAACCATTGATTTGGTTTGAATGAAGATCTAATTGCTTCAACTTGGATAAAAGACCCAGAGTTGGAGATAGTGGACCAATAATGTGATTTCTATCCATATGTAGAAAGCTTAGATTCTTCATATTTCCAAATTCTTGAGGGATGGAACCTGTGAGGTTGTTAGAGTTAAGGTTAAGATAGTTCAATAGTAACCAAATTGGTTAATTGGCCTAAAGTGGAAGGAATTTTACTTGAAAGAGAATTGTTGGAAAGATCCAAAGTAACCAAATTTTGTAGCTTCCCAATTTCTGATGGTATGGATCCACTGAGTTGGTTGCTCCCAAGAGACAATGTTCTAAGTTTGGTTAGATGACCCAAAGTAGGAGGGATGCTTTCGTTAATTCTTTGGTTATTAAGATCAAGCCTAAGAAGACTAGGGAAGGCATAAGTTCAGTTTCCTAAATCTTTTCCCCACACTTAAATAATCTGGAGGGAAAATATCAGTGACATTACCCTAGGATAGCTACAATGATTTGTAGTGTTTGGGGCATAGTCATAACTATGAAAATTGTGCATGTGCCCTCACGTATAGACCCGTTAAGAATGTTCGGTCCACGCCTCCTTACATGCAGGCCCAATAATCAACTTTAACTTCGAATTCAAATCCCACTGCAAGCCCAATAATCAACTTTAACTTCGAATTCAAATCCCACTGCAAGCCTACTATGAGTGTCTCAAATCCTATTACGTGATTTAACAGCCCTTTACATAACTTTAACGTTTGATACCATGTGAAAATTATGCATGTGGATTCAACACAAGGTTTGTATTCTACCTAAAACCAATTGGTAATAGGTTGAGTGGTCTTCCTTATATTTAACTCACAAACTTCTTTCTTTTATACTTGATGTGGGATTTTCTCATTTAATACTAACATCATCGTGGCTCCTGTAAAAAGTGCAACCCATACGATTGCTGCCACAATGGAAGCAATTAGAGTAGAAGATGAGGAGGTCATGTTTAAGCTAATTTTGTATACATGTTACCTTTCCTATTTGCATGCCTTCTGAATTTCAAAACAAGCGATAGCTACGTATTCACTTCCTCCAAGGGGATCGATACCTCTGTTACATCAAAGTCAACTAGTTAAGTCAATGGAGGTTGATGAAAAGCTTTTCTTTTTCAATGAATATTCTACAGGCATAGGTCTCATGAGCCACTTGGTAAGTGCACCTGATGACTTGACAATGAGTAAGATTCAAACCATAATGTTGTGATACCATAATTTCTCATCCCTATTATGGAAACACATCATGCTACACCATCAATCATGGCTCAATCACTTACACAGGATATCAAGTCCTAATTATTCTCACAATCAATCTTTGCTAATCATATATTCTGCATTAATAAGATTCATTGTATTATGTGTGTTTCCACTTTTACAAGTTCTTTCCATATGTGTTGCTTAGAGCAACACCTCAATTTGTATATATGTGTAATCTCAGTGAATAAATCTGTATCTTTCTTTATCAATCTCTTCTTCACCTTATTAATCCCTTACCCCCAAATTGTAACTGTTAAAAAAAAATTCTACTTAATAGAATTGACAAATAAGGTCCATCATCTATGTGAACAAAGTTTTATTTTTCTCATCCTTGGTTTCTGAGAAAATGTGGTAAGGGAATCCTATGCTTTTGATAACAACACATTACTAAAAGCAAATAGACACACCGTGTTCAACATGAATTCTTGTCTACTGAATTTCCATAATTAGTTTACAAGCAAATTAGGTATGGCTATGGGTACCCTGTGCTTGAGAAAAAGCTGAGTGCGTTGGAGACTGCATTGCACTTAATACCTCATGAATTTCCGCGACATTGCAACTAACACGATCAAGAATGCTAGCTTTGCAGTGTATATTAAATTAAAAGGCTACAAATCTTTCGTGTTGATGCAGTTGTCTTTTCTTCAAGAGACCCAATCTAATTGACGACTGAAGTCCCAGAACTCGAATAGGTATCAATCTTGCGATGGAACCTCTCTCTGCGAAGTATGACGCCTCCCCTTCTCTAGCGGTCGGCCAATGCCTATAGTCTGAGTTCTTTTTTGGCGTCAGAAAATGAATTTGATGACGATAAAGTCATTTTCTAAAGTTCTCTTGTCTCTTGCCCGCAAAAAAGAAATAAAATTTCTTTCAAATAATGTTACCTTGCTACAATAAGCGTGCGAATCTAAAGTTGTTCAGATCTCTCTTGATTTTGAATGCAAAACGCGCAATTTGAAAACTAGGTTTTATTAGAGTGAGGCAATTTGGGGAAACGTTTTGCTCATTTTAAATAGCTTTTTTTTTTTTTTTTTCTTTAAGATTTTAATACGAAAATTCAATGCCATGAAACGACACCATTTTGGTGGCTGCGACTTCTGCGAGATTCTTTTGTTTGTC